ATTAAAGGGACACACAATTATCTGGCGGCGGAAGATCTCTTGGAGGCGGATTCTTGAGGGAAAAAGGCAGAGGGCAGCGAGCAAGGGGAAAGAAGAGAAGCAGCAGCGCGCAGAATCCTGTTCGGAGGAGCTGGGCGATTGCGAGCGTCTGACCCGCATCGCAGCTTGAGATTTTATTCAGTATTATCGTCTCCTTATTTTAATTAGTAACATGATGATTATGAACATGATTGTGTGTTTTATTTTCATCATGAACTAAACCCCGAGTTCTGGGGGAAACACCATAGGATGTAGCTATTTCTTGATTTGATGGATTGATTCGTATTTCTTTTCTTCCAATCTCTATTGCATGAAATTACTTAATGCGTTGTGTTGACTGGCCACCAACACATTGATTTGTTGTTAATTAGGTTATTAGCGACAGTGAAACCCTAATAACTGAACCTATTTCATGTGACATAGTAACTTATCGAAGCGACAGTGGATTAAATAAGGTGCTATGCGGTCTTAAATAGGATATCGATCTTCAGGCTAAATAATTAAGTCATTGAGCTACGACAGTAGGATTTGAATTGATTATTTAGTACGTAGTAATTCCCGACAGGGATAGCTAGCACATTCGTGATATCCTGGCTGTAGAGAGTTGGATTAAATTGATTAGAATATGTGAATTAATCTGGATAGGATAGGTAGTGAATTCCGGTGTTTCTCCCAGAGCTTTCTCCCATTGATTTAAACCCGACACTTTAATTTGCTTGTTTTGTTTAATTACTTTGCTATTAGATCATAGTTTCATCTCATTAAACATTTTCACATATAGTTTGCCCAATAAAATTGATAGAACTTAAGGTTGTACCAGTCCCTGAGAGACGATACCCGGACTTTCCGGTTTACTACAAGATAGGAATTGAAGCTATACGCTTTCGCCCTATCATGATTCATGTGGATGGAACATTCCTTACGAACAAGTATAAGGGTTCTCTACTGATCTCCAGCGGAGCAGATGCAAATAAATGTGTCTTTCCATTAGCCTTTGCCATTGTTGAGGGAGAGAATACCGACAACTATGGATAGTTCTTTAGACAAATTCAACTCCACATCACCAGGAGGACGAACCTAACAATCATCTCTGATCGCCACATCGGGATCAGGGTTGCCAGCTTAGGCTCCGTTCCAGCCTAGAAGTGGTCACAGAGATGGTGCGTACGACACTTCAAGAGCAATTGGAACCATCATTTCAAGTGGAGGAAGCTTACTGATAGTCTATGGTGGACCGGTAAGCGTTCTATTTCATTGGTGTAATAATTTTGTTAACTGGGAAAAAGATACTTTGAAATACAATACAATACTTATTTAGACTCCTTAATTAGAGATGCATGCATAAGGAAATGGGGTCTAGAGAAATCATCATGATCCCCCCCCCATTTCCTGGGAAAATCGGGTTCTAAGCGATCCTCGAATCCCCCTTCTGTCAATTGTACTATAAAATACTGAATTAGTAAAAAATGTGAGAGATATGAGTGGGATCGAAGATGTTTACCTACAACCATAAGCTTCATATCGTAGGGGATGGTTGGGTCCCCATTCCTTGTCGGGGTCTTCCTTCGGCGCAATCCATGGCAGATGCTCCCAAGCCCAAAATTTGGACGATGAACATGGCCCCATCAATATCCTTCACCGCACTCGAACTTTCATTACAGAGGGAGCGGTAGATATGAGCTAGGCAAGCAGATGCCCAGCTCAGGTTCCCCATATCATCCCAATCACCAAAGATGATCTTCAACCAAGCATTGTTGATTAAATTGTTGGATTTTTTTTGGGAAGAAAACTCCTCCGATCATGCCGAGGATGTAGACACGTGCATAAATTTCTTTATCATGCTCCGAGCTTTCCTCCATGAGGGGAAGGCCTCCTACATCAGGGTTGTGCTTACGCCTGATCTCCACTGTCAACCAAGTGATGGATACTGGGCCCTTGGACAATGGTGGATGACCATCCGCATCGTGGTCTCCCTTTTCTGGTCGTACCAACCCCGTGGCGCTCCATATGAAATGCTGCCAACCGCTCATATTCTCAACAACTTTAGGTGGTGGAGAAGAGTCCACACAAATAACATCGTCATCGATGGGAAAATCGGTTAGGATGGCGATGTCCTTAAGGGTGATGGTGCACTCGCCTTCACGAAAGTTGAAGCAATGTGTCTCTTTCGCCATCTCTCCACCAATGTCGTGATGAGTTGGCGTTCGATCTTTATCCCATTAAAGCGCCTAATGGGATCCAATCTTGCCCTTCTTCGAAAGGGCAAGATGACGTCGTTCCATGCGAGCACATTGGTCGTACCCCTATAGCGGACAATATGGTATGCATCCTAGCGAAGAATTTATTTTTCACTATAAGTTTATGACTTATACATATATAAATTTATTAAAACAAACAATATCAATTCACAAAATTAAATCAAGATTTTTTCCAAGAAATATACATAATTTAAAAAACAAACATATTAAGCGTACTAAAATAATTAACTAAAATGAATACCATTTTTAAAATTCAAATAAAATTAATTTGTACACATACACATAAAATCAAATATATTATTTTGTACTTCGTATTGATTGTTTTCAATAATTTAACGCAATACAAGTACACTCGTAAGACTTTTAGGAGAGGTATACATCTCTTTAGAAACACAACATTTTTTACAGAAAAATGGGGAATCCGAGGATCGCTTAGAACCCGATATTCCCAAGAAGTGGGAGGATCATGATGATCGCTTAAGACTCCATTTTCTTAGGCATGCATTTCTTTATAAAGAGTCTAATTAAGTGACACATTGTATTGATTTAAATTATTGAAAATAATCAATACGATTAACAATTAACAAATTTATTTTACAAACCATAAATCACGTTAACAAAATAAAAAAATGACAAGTGATGATAAATTATATGTATCTTGTGGTCATTCAAAACATCACTTGAACGATGATTATCTTGGTCGTATAACACAGTCGGATCAATCGGTCTTTGATCAACATAATATTTTTTTATTGTAGATATCAACATCCTCCCCAACCTACGATAGTATAACAACAACATAAATCAATTATTATATAGATTAAATAAAATCATTACAACAACAACATAATTTAGGTAAATGAGTACGTACCGCTTGATAGTAATCATAGTAAATACCCTCTAGTTCGAAAAAATTGGCCATTTTTTCAGGAACCGGACAGAGATTCGACGTGTTTTGAATGAAAATCAAAGAAAAGTTTTTTTTATAACAGATGAAACTTAGCCGCAACCAACAGACCACTATTTCCAAAGTTTTTGGGTGGAGAGGGGGATGGGTAGAGTGATAAACTTAGAGAGAGAGAAAGAGGAGGTTGGTTTTGGTGTGAAGAAAATGAGAGGAGGGGAGGGGGTATTTATAGGGTAAGGACCGCCTGGGGGGCGGTTTGGTATTTTCCTCCACCAGAAATCGCGTCCCCGGTGAACGGTTTCCCTTCCCAAAGCATAAACCACGCCCTTGGGGAACGATTACAAGGATGAGACACGGATTGCTCCTCTGGTAGGCGGTTAGCTGTCGGATCGCCTCCCAATCGCACGGTTTCATGGACCGCCACACGAAGGAGCGATTTTCCAGCTGCCCTAGCAAGATCCGCCTGTTCCCCGCGCGGTTTGAAGGAGAACCACCCATAGTTTTGTAATTTTTTTAAACGATGGTAGTTTGGGATTTTTCCCTCCAATGTTTGATCCAAATTCTCCTATGTTGTATTTTATCTTGAAAACCATAAAAACATACCAAGAAGGAATCAAAGAATACAAAAATACAACCTGGGTCTATTAAGTGCGCATTGATCAAATATAGTTTTAGATTAGGTATAAAATAAAAAAGAAAGTAATAGAGATGCATTGATAGAAGAGGAAAATGTATCAAATATGAGAGTGGTAAACGCTAAAAACTAAGTATCATCATATGCATTTTGTGACAATAGTAACCAAATGATGAAAAAGACACAAGTATAGCCACACCTTTGAAATTGATTTGACAAATTTAGAGGTTGAAAACTCTAACACCGTCAATGACTCTACTAGTAACATAGACGTTACGCTGATTTGGATGTCACATGGACGACACGTCATCTCCAACTAGGCACACCATGCCCACTTGAATGCCACATCATTCTGTAAATTTTAAAAAGTTGCATCCTTGCCAAAAATTATTTTTCACAAAAGAAAAAAGACAAATGCTTTTTTTTGCATCGGCCACTCCTCTTCTTCTTTCTCTCTCTAGCACTGAGAAATTTTGTTTGTCGGCAACTCCAACACAGGGAGGCGAGCAGATCTACTCAAACTTTCCAGATCTCGGAGTGATAGGAGGCGGGCAGATCTACTCCAACAACAGTACCTTACTGTTTCTATATTTGGAGCATTTTTCCATCTCGCCAAGGCGGCAGATCTACTCCAAAAAATATTTTTATAAAAAAATTGATATGTCATTAAGAAGGTCAGGTCAGCAGTTTTGTTTGCCAAGTTGTCAAAAATGTTACGGAGTTAATGGAGTCTGATGACCAGTGACTAATGGTGAAATGATTCTTGAAGTTAATGACGAATAAGAAAGAAAAGTGATTCGAGTGATAAACGTGAAAAATTTATGTAATTTGAGTAATGAAATGTGTAATTTAGCATTTTTCAATACGGCAAAATTATGGCTATCAGTTATTGCTGTCAGCTGTCGTGACTCGTGTGTATTACTGTATTTCACTATTTTGGCTGAATTACTGGAAGGCGTGTAAATTGAATGAGTTGACGACCGACCACAGACCGAGTCGCCCACCCGAAAACAAAAGGAAAAAACAAGTTCCGAAAGTCTAGCAGCCATGTAGACAGTACCCTATAATATAGTCTCCAAAAGTGTAATTTGCCCTAACGCGTTGTGTTTTTTTTTTTTTTTTTTCCTTCATTGTAACTGATTTATCAATATGTACTGAAACATCTCTTGTCATCTCTCTCTCTCTCGAGTCCAAAGTGAGAGCCTTCCACAGCCAAGATAAAATACACACAGCGAAGTTCTTAACGAAGACTTTTCCTCAAAGCTATAACGATCGCCGTCGTTCGACGGACCCCTTCTCTCATTTCCCCGATCGCCGTGATAAGGTAGCTTTCCCGTTTCTTTCCTTCTGTCTCCAGGCCCTACATACGATTTTGGGTTCTTTCATAGTTGCTTTCGACGCGGAGAGTTTCCTTCTCGTTTGCCTGCCTGCGTTCGATTTCTAGGGTTGTTGGTGGTATGGAATGCTGGTTTTATTACGCTAGTTGAGCGCAGCCTGTTCATTCCAAATGCCTGGACTGGGTATTTTATGGTCATCACGGAAGTGAAGCGAGAAGAGTGGTGGCAAGAAAGGGGATTACTTGATTAATTGAGGGCTTGATCAGTTCTTTCAATGGGGGAAATTATGCGGATTACTTGATTGAATGAGGGCTTGATGAGTTTGTTCTTTCAGGATTTTCTCTGTTGTTTTCTCCACCTTGGAGTTTGTCTGATTGATACGAGGAATTGAAGAGGAACAACTTCATTGATTAGCTTCAATGTCTTTCAGCCTACTTCACTTTCATTTTCCTTAGTTTCTCCACCGGAAAAAGTTGTATGCTGTTCATTTCTGCTTGAGAATTAACGATGTCTGAACTCAACTTGGAATGCGACTCTATATTCTTCCTTTCGACTTCTTATGGTACTTCAGCTCTGATTACTATTTTTTTTGGGTGCCGTTGGTTACTGGGCTTCCAGATCTTCTCAATTACTCGGATACTTTTGGACATCTTTAGGTCCAATAGGAGATACTAATTTATGTTTGCTTGTTAAATATATAGTATCTGTTAGTAGGAAAAGCTTAGACGGTGAAATTTCCCAGTGAAAATCAATGAACAAGCAGTGATGATTGATACCATTTTGTAAAATGAACAGGAAATACCTGCTTAGCTTTTCGCACTGTTAACTGTTAAGTTCTCATCTTTATGTCTCATTCTTCTGTTGTAGTTTATCAGGACAGAAACTAATGAGTGATCATCTAGATTCTGGTGCTGACCGGAATATAGAGCCTGAGAATTCACTACCAACACAAGGTGCGGTGATACTTCCATCTTCTGGGAGTTCTTCTTCTCAGCCTGTTGATAAATCTTCTTGCTTTATTGATATGGAGCGAGTTAGAGAAGATGATGTCTGCGATGAAAAGGAGCCACTTCTTCAGACAGTGGAATGCCGAATTTGCCAAGAGGAAGATAGCCTGGTGAATTTGGAGGTTCCCTGTGCTTGTAGCGGTAGTCTAAAGGTATTTCTGCTTTCCATGTTGTTTTATGTCTCGGTATTTTCAGGAAATTTGTAATCTTATATTAAGAATTATTGGATTTGAAACCTGGCCTGTCCATCCAAAGAATAAGGTTTGTTGTATGTGATTTGACCTGGTAATTCATAAATCATTCTTGATAAAAGAAAAGAGTTGTTTTCTTTTTCACTTAGATATTAGATCGTCCAGAGCAACGCTTAAATGTTTTCCTTTTCCAGTATGCTCATAGGAAATGCGTCCAGCGATGGTGCAATGAAAAAGGCGACATCATTTGTGAGATATGTCGCAAGGTAAGGAATTTGAGTTTTACAAGGAGCACATTATTCATGCAGCTTGGGCGTGCAACAAGTTGTCATTAAATCTTGGACTTTTACCTCATTGAGTTTATTGATTCCTTCCAAAGAAAAGGGGGTTATTTTTGCTAACTGGATCGTATGTGGGACACACTGTTTATATCGAATTCAATAGATTTTCTGTTCAGATTCTTGCTAACTGCCCTGTCGTGTCCTTGAAGTTCATTTTTTGTGAATTTTGAACTTTCCTTTTGTTGCTTAGCCTATTTCAGTCGCCGATTCAAATGCATTATTTACGTTAACTGGATGCTGCTATGTTGATTCCGTCACTTTTCTCAAGAAGCTGCTATAGCATGAAAAAGTGGACCTCTGATTATTCTAGTTGTCTAAGTAATCCGAAACAGTTATCTCATTTATGTGGCATTAAATTGAGTAATATTTGTGTTGATTGAATTCGTTTTGGTTAAGAGTTGGTGAATGTGTAATCCGTTGCAGGTTCAAACTGTCCATGAGTATCATTACTTTTGCCGAAGTAATGCAAGATGCATTTGGGAATGGAAATGATACAAATCATTCAGACTTCTAATCAGTTTTCCTTTTTTTACAGCCTTACCAGCCTGGATATACTGCCCCACCGCCACCTCCGCAGTCAGAAGACACTGCAATTGATATAGGGTAAGCTCTGCTCACAGAGATTTGTTCTTTCTTTGTAGAAATTGTCTGAATCTCTGAATCTAGGCTTTCAAGTGGCCTTGTCATGTCATTTTGGAGTCTGTACCATGTTTTTCTGTCATTGACTCAGAAGATGTCTGAATGATATGGCTCATAATCTCCTCTTATATGTTTGCTTTTCTTCCTTTTCCTAATGAATTGTTACATTTCTATTTTTTGCAGTGAAGGTTGGACTATTGCTGGCACTCCTTTGGATCTCCGTGATCCCCGAATTTTGGCAATGGCTGCTGCTGAACGCCATCTTCTAGAGGCCGAGTATGATGAGTATGCTGATAGCAGTGCAAATGGTGCTGCATTCTGTCGATCTGCTGCTCTAATTGTAAGTCATCATTGTCTTCAGGGCCATTCCATATTTCAGAAAGTTGGAATGTGGGATCTCTTAACTCGATTAAGTTGATTGTTAGCCGTTTTCTGTACTAATCATTACCTTGATTATCATGCTAACTGATATGTTATATTCTTAAACTGGCTTGCTTCCACTTAAATGATTTAATCCATCCCTTCTATGGGGTTCCTTGATGTAGGACCACATTATATTGATGGTCAGGATGCAGATTGGGGACTTTAAGTCCATTTATTGCTGTGTAGTTTATTTTCACATATCCTTTCCAAGGCTTGTACAGGGAAATTATTTACTGATGTTTGTTTGTCGGTGAAGGAACCTGTTCCGATGTTGGGTGAACCACGAAATCCAAGATCTGAATGTCCCTCTTCTCATTGCCTTGTTGTTTTGTCTTTCCTACCAGCTTATGGCTCTTCTACTCTTGAGGCATGCTATGTCTCTAAGCAGTTCGGATGGTGACGATGACGATGATGCTTCAACCTTTTTCTCTGTGAGTATCAATCCTAGAGAAGTATTATGTCGAATTGATGTTCATAATATCCAGGCTAATGTTTGTGTCTTCATCCTCTTGAAAATGGAATTTTGCCAGCTTTTCTTGCTGAGAGCTGCTGGGTTTCTTCTCCCATGCTATATCATGGCTTGGGCCATCAGCATTCTACAACGAAGAAGGCAAAGACAGGTTAGTAGTGAAAGTCATTATTTTCCCCTCTCTCTCTCTCTCTCTCATACATTTCTGTGAAGATTTACACTTGGCAGCATAGTGAATCTCATATAAGTTTGTATTTTGCCTGAATCAGGAAGCGGAAGCACTTTCAGCATCAGAAGTTGCCTTCATGATACAGGCAGGCCAACACCCAGGCTTGCATTTCACAGTAGCTGCTGGTCCTGCATTTACAACTCCTGAAGAAGCAGCACCTTCTCCACCGCCGAGACATTCAGTTTAAGTGTCGAGTAAATTTATTTATGGTGGTGGTGGAAAACACGAGATTCTGTGATTGTCCATCCAAGTTGTACCATCTTTAAATTTGGACCTTTACTTGTGAGAAACCACCTACATGGCTCTCCTGTGACTTGACCTGAGTGGGATATGTTTCCTGGACATGTATTAATGTACATAGGTGATCTGTGATGTATCTGTGGCCGCCGTTTGTTTGTGCTGCTTTGGGATCTACGTAATATCAGGGGCAGAGCTGTTGTTTCTTTAAATGGTACATGTCACACTAATATGTATCTCTGATCTTGCTGGTTTTGGTTCACAACTTGCTTTATTTCTAGGTTGATTATACAGTGAGCTGCAACCCTGCAGATCAGAATGTGATATAAGACCAACCTGGCAGTAGTCTTTGCTTTAGGAAGTGTAGAAGTACCAACACCTTAACAGCTGTCTTGGCTATATCGTAGGAGCATGACAGAGACTGCACAACCTTTTCCCGATTATACATTGCCAACAAGATTCTAACATCAGTCTCTGTTCTGCAGGTCCATTTTTAAACTAGACAGTCAAAGATGTCAACTGCTCGCGTTTAATTTGGCACTTGGGTTTTACTCATTTCTAGCATTATAGACGTGTTGTTGGGACAGTTTTTGAGAGAGATCTGGCTTGATTGTATTTTTACCATGCGTTCAGCGTTATTGATTCTTTACGAAGGCTTAGTTTTCAGTTGATGCTTTGAACTGAGTTTCAGTTTCCGGTTGGTGCTTCGAACTGAGTTTCAGTTTCGATTTGGTGCTTTCAACTTGGCATTATGTTTCTGTGTTCGTCATTAATCAAGTTCAACACAGATGCATGGTGTATGGGCGAGCAGGGGACTGGTCTGGACATGGTGGTGAGTAGGGATGGCAAAAATATCCGTAACCGTGGATATCCACCCGAATCCGACCTAATCGGGTAGGGTAAAATCCGAATCCGAAGAACTTTTAGTGGGTACGGGTAAAACCCGAATCCGAATGTTGCGGGTAATGGGTGGGCATGGTTTTCTTATTATCTAACCCGAACCCGCCCGATTATACATATGCATATGTATTTTGTATACAAATAATCATTATTTTTCTTTAAAATATTCTATATTTAGCATACAAATAAAATATTTTCATGAAATTTTATTGTTTTAATTAATTTTCTTCATTCTACTGATTTATCATCGTATGTTTCCTTTGTGTATTGTGAATATATGTGTGAATGTTAACATATTGGTTGGAGTTATAAAGAGAAATTACTATCCATGGATAACCGTGGATATCCGAAACCCGAATGGATATGGGCATGGTTTGAATTTTCTACCCGTTTCTTATGTGGGTATGGGTATGGGTAAAACCCGAACTACTTTGGATAGGGTAACGGATATGCACTATCCGCCCACGACCCGACCCATTGCCATCCCTAGTGGTGAGAGTTTGGCAAGGATCGGTTCGTCTTGTAGTGGCAAAAAGAGAGGAAGAAATTTGGCTGTCAGAGGTTGTCGAAGGAAGAGCAGTACTAATGGCGGTGACAATGGAGAATTAAATACCATTTTTTTCCCAACTTTCTTAATCGGCTCATATTTTTTTTGTTTTAACTCGGATCTTAATTTTTTTGCACTGATGGAACGAGTTCATCGTGCTCTACAAAATGAGATCAATTTTCAATATTTTTTGAGAAAAAAAATTATGGCCTCTCGGTACCAACTGCATACCAATGGTATTTTCTTCGTTTTTGAAAACGTTTGCATAGAAGGGACGAGTTCATCATGATCTATTGGATCTAAAAATTTATGGGTGAACAAATTACACGACCATAAAATATCACACAATACCATACAATACCACCCTGGTACGGGGTGGTATCTTGTGGTACACAATGTTAAAAGTCGTAAATGACAGTTAATATACTTCTACTATCATGTATTCAACCATCCTACAGTCTTGGTTTGTTCATACTACCATGGTATGCTTTTCAAACCATAGGTATGCTCTTATTTCAATACCAGTCAATACCATATGGTATAGACTGGTAAATAATGGCTCAATTTTTTTTGTTCGAAAAATATATCAAAGTGAATATCATTTTGAAGGGCACAATTAATCTGATCTAACTGTGCAAAAAAAAAAATTCGACTTAAAACGAGTGAGAAATCGTCCATCAAAGATCAAGGAGGGGAAAATTAAAGGCCTTTCAGGAGAGAGAGGGATGCTGATGTCATGCTGATGTGGACGGGTTACTCACCATAAGGTTAGTGACCTGATTTGTTTCCGATGACAATAATAAAGGAACTCCAAATGGTCCGGAACTCCAAATGAGACCATGTGATGTAGAGTTTGACTGCAATTCCCTCATGATAAAGCTTTACGGGTCGTTTGCTTCATGGATTTGAAAAATAAGGGTTTTGGTAAAACTTGGGTTTTGGAAAACCATGGATATATGATGGATTTGGTGGCAATTTGACCAAGTCTATTGTTTGCTTGTTGGATTTGATTATAGATTTTGTTTGAAAAGATTTTGTGGATATGAAATTCAAATTCCTTGTTACCCTTATCTTATCTAATTATATTTTGTATATTATAATCCATAAATTTCATTAAAAAAATCCAACGCATACAATGAAATTTTAAACTCTTTACCACTATGTGGACTAATAATTCAACTACAAATATAGAAATGTATTATAGTTTGGCACTAATTAACAACTCATCTAATAATGTACGCAATACTATGTATCAATTGCAACCAATTGCTCGCTTTATTGCTACAACTCATCAACTTCTTGCTAACTCCCCGATTTTGGAATCCGACAATCAATCAAATAATAATGCACAAGATGAGCTAAGATGTTTATAGTTGAATCTAACAAATCACATATACATTCATATTTAAATAAACTATGATATTACAAAACGAAATGAAAAATTCTCATATATATAAAATACGACATTATAAAAGTTTATAATTGCATGACCATTTAATTAAAGTATGACAACTTTGTAATTAAAGTAATAAGTAAGGGTAGAAAGGTAATTTACCATCATGGATTTTACAGGTCGTTTGCTTCAAGGTTTTGTTGATGGATTTGGTGATGGACTTGCATTTATCATGGACTTTGACAAAAGTCTATTGTTTGCTTGATGGAATTGGAGGGAGTAAATCCGTGGGGCCCACAGAGTTTGGAGGTCCAAATACGTGGACCCCACGGACTTGGAAGTTCCACCTATGGAGGTTGGAATTGGATGATGGCATTTTACTAGTTTATCCCTACTTATTTTACCTAATGACTAATCTACCCTTTCTTCTTTCCCGGTGGTGGCCTCCAACTCTTTGTCCTCAGTTTTTCATATAGAGCAATGAATGGTAAAGGGACTCTCATGTTTGTTTCTCCTTGTCTCTTTCTTTTTTTGGGCTTGTTTAACATTAATTTCTCGCATAAATTGTGAATTTCGGGATGAAATTTTGGATTAAGCGTGGTGCTCGAGTTTGATAAAAAAATCGGGACATTTTCAATTGTGGTTGAATTTCACATCTTCGTATACTGAGTCTTCTATTTACTCCTCTACTGATATTTCTAACACTTTATGCTCATCTTGTGCATTATTGCTGGATCGACAGTTGGATCCAAAAATTAGGGTGTTGTGTCATGTTCAAACTATTATGCATTTCTATATTTGTAATTGAACTAGTTCACAAAGTAGAAGTTCAGTTACTTTGTATGCATTAGATTTGTTTTTAAGAGAAATATAATTACATAAGGGTAACAAGGTAATTTGTATTTCATATTCACAAATCTAATCAAATAAAATCCATTATCAAATCCAACAAGCAAACAATAGACTTGTTCAAATCCATGATGCCACCAAATCCATCATATATCCATGGTTTTTCAAAACCCAGGTTTTATCAAAACCCTCATATTTACAATCCACGAAGCAAACGATTAATCCATCACCCAAATCCCACCTCAAGAGGTGGAACTTCCAAGTCCGTGGGGTCCACGGATTTGGCACCCCAAAAGTGGCAGGACCCACAAATTCCATCTCCCTAATTTCTTAAAGCAAACGATGGATTTCCGTTAAGTCCATGATGAATAGATTTTCATAACCAAATCCATAACCAAAACCCTCAAGCAAACGACCACAACATGCAGAGGATCTAAGTGGGACGTGCATAATGTGTAAGGAAATCCTGGAAGGTGCAGAAGTGTCGGAATGTAGAGTTTGGAAGTTTGGAAGTTTGCTAGTCGTGAAGCCATTAAGGTAACCACAAGTTAGCCCATTTTCCTTTTGAAGCTCGTGATTGTAACAGGTGGATAGAGCACTACTCGGAGGATGGTTATCAATTTTAGGTATCATAGTCAGTAAATACTCTGTTTAATATATATATGTACCTGTACGTTTATCCGTTTAAAACTTCAGTATCTGTATTATTGTCAAGCCGTTTCATTTTTCCCCATTTATTTGATGGCTCCCGTAATAAACACGTATAAAACCTGTATAATATGTTTAATATTCGTATTTATTGAATTAAATGGTTAAATTTACTATTATTTATATATTTATTTATTTATAAAAATAATTAATTTTATATATTTATGACCATTAACGTACTATTAAACATAACATTAGCTTAGAGACAACGTAAAATACCTATATGTACTTTATACGTAACTTTCCTGTTACCTGTACCGTATTTTACTAACTATGCTAGGTATTTTTAAATTGGTGGTTATGATTGATTGAGAATAATTATGAAAAAAAATAATAGTCACACAGAATTACTATCTTTAAAATATGATTTTTCATATATTTTTCCAAACTCTAAATAATTAATTTAATCCTAATAATTTCCTTTCCTCGTCGCTAACCAGTCGCCCACTTCACCTTCTACCTCCATCTCTGTCACTCTTCCTCCCTCCTTCCCACCCCACACAACCGCTGCCCTTCTCCCCTCCCTCCCTCCAAAAGTTAGAAAGTCTATAAAGCATAAAGCCTTCTTTTTAATTCCTCTTGGTTTCATTTCAGGACTCTTCCTGCTCTAATGGTGGATTCGGGACAAGATTGAATATTAATCGCCGCTTCGTCCCCCTTCCTAAGTTGGTGGAACCAATTGACTCATTTGAACTTCCTTCTGAAGCAGTGCGGCAGCGAGGAGATGACATCTCTTATACAGAGTCAGATCTGGTTTTTTCGTATTGGTATGTATTTTTTATATTGGTATGTATCTTTTCATAGTTGTATTGATTTTTTGCCATTGATAGTGATTATCATATAATGATATTGTTTTTTCGGTATTTGAGTTATCATATTAGTATTGGTTAAATCTACAATGGTATTGGTTAATGAGTGGTATATGTTGTGGTAGTGTTTTCTGTAGGCTGCAGTGGTAGTGTTTTTATATTCTGGTATTGATTTTTTATTTTTTTTATAATTGTATTGGTGTTTTTTGAAATGGTAGTGGTTGTCTAATGGATTGGTATTGATTCTTGTTTTATTTTTGCAGTGGTATTAGTTTGATTAAACGAAAACAAAGAAAAGATTGCGAAAAAAGAAGAAAGAGAAATGTGGTTGTAGATTGCAAAAGTGAGAGAAAGAGAGAGAACAAAATTTTAATTAATATGTTTTTGTAACTTCTAAAATGTAATTTAATCACCAGTGTGTTTCAGTATTGGATGGCAGTCTTCCTCTTACCAATGAGAGTTTTGAAATCCATTGAAGAGGTGTGTAATAAGTTCTCGTGGGGAGTTGGTTTGAATGGGAGGAGGAGAGCACCTGTATCCTGGTCTAAGGTTGCTATGCCTAAAGCAGAAGGGGGTTTAGGGATAAGAGATTTCAAAACATGGAATAAAGCCTGTGTTTTGAGGCATTTGTGGAATTTACTTGCTGAGGCTGGCTCTTTATGGGTTGCCTGGATCCAGAAGTATAGGGTTAAAGGGAATGACATATGGGAGATTCCTGCAAGCTCAGTAAGCTCATGGGTATGGAAGAAGGTGCTTAAATGCAGAGAACTGGCTCATACTCATGTCACTGGAGCAGGTAGTAATCTGACTTGGGATGGTAAGCAATTGATGAAGTATTCAGTTAAGGTTGTTTGGGATTCCATTCGTGCTCCTTCTTCGCCTGTTGAGTGGTGTTCTGTGTTGTGGGGTAAACCTTTTATACCGAAACACAGTTTGCTGGTCTGGTTGGTGGTTTTGGATCGAATTACCACGAAGGATAATCTTGTTAGTTGGGGATTGGCAGATGAAAATTGTTGCACTCTTTGCCCTGGTGGTTTTGAAAGCAGAGACCATCTTTTTTCCTTGTGTTCCTTTAGTGCTAAAGTTTTCCAGTTCGTGTTACAGAAGATTTGCAGGTGGCCTCTTTTCCCAGATTGGAGCTCTCAGTTGAATTGGGTGGTGCAGCGATGGTCGGGTGCAAGCTCGACATCTAAGATTGGGCGGCTGTTATGGGTGATGTGCTGTGCTTATGTTTGGCGGGAGAGATGTACTCGGGTTTATGGCGCCAAAAGAATTTCATATCCTACTCAACTCTCAACCACTATTTTGCAGGAGTTCGAGTTATACTCAAGTAGTACTATAGAATTACAGAAGATGGCCAAAGATGTGCTTAGCTTATAGATTTTATTTTCCTTGGTTTGTTTAGTTACCATTATAGGTTTCATTGGAGTGTAAAAACGTTGATCTTTTGAGAGGGAGATGCGAGTTGCATCTCCCTGGGCTTCAAATGCAATTTTGATTAACCATCAAAAAAAAATTTTAATCAAAAAATAATTTAATAAATATTATTTCTTATACCCAATTTGCCCTTTGTAATCATAGTGAGTACTACTTCCTAGTAATCACTCTTACCGCTCCAAGCATTACCCCTTGAAAATCTCAGATGAGATAACTCTTGATTTAAGCCTTATGGCTTATTAATTTTGATGGGAACCTGCGGTTATATTATTAATCAGAAACTATTGTTACATCGTCCAACCGAAACTGATCAATCAATATCATAGGCGGTCTATCAACCCACACAACATGTGAGTTCCAATGTGTTTCACACTTAGTCATAAGATGAGTAGCTGAATTTGCTGTTCCTTTAACATGTTGTATTGATCGAATGTGTCCTGCAGCAAGCTCTTGTCGGATACTGGTGCATATTCTCCCAAGCTCCATTAGAGATGAGCCCTCCTCTTGGATCTTCTGTACCACTGAGAGACAATCAGTCTCAATAACTGGCTCCTGAATCTGTAGCCGTTTCACCATGTTGATCCCGAACTCAACTGCGCATGCCTCCGCCAATTCAGGATCCCATGAGCCAGGTATTTTCTGGGCAGCTGCATAAATGAACCTCTCGTAACAATCATGGCCCACTACTCCAAGACAAGCTCCACCAGTCGCCAGTACACCCGCGTCCGTCATGCCCTGTCGAGGTCGAACCCACACCTCAGCAGCTGGGGCAGGGCCGGGCTGTGTAGGTGTTCCCTAGTGCTCTTTGTAGTCATGAAGAAAGGCTTCTGCACGCTGAGCAATTTGATCTTCTAGCACTTTTGACCCATTATGCATTTGGGCATTCCTTTCCTTCCAGAAAAACCATAGCAAGACTAACTATCTTTCAATGTCTTCCTTCAGTGCTAATTCGAGCACCCTCTTAACCCACTCGGCACAATCCTATGAACTGAGGCATAAGAAACTTCGCCAAGTTCGTCGGGCGCCAAATTCTGGTCGTCCACCCACATTCACCAAACATATGAGATTGCGTCTCCGGCAGGTCACAGAATGGGCAGCGATCATTCCCGTTCTCATCTCGGTGGTAATAATTCGCTCATGTTGGCAACGTATTGCAATAAATTGCCAGGCAAAGTAAGTCACTTTAGGGGGAATTGTAAGTTCCCAAAGCATCTTTCAAACTCCCGGCTCACTAACCATTCCCCCCCTATCGCTCCTCAAGTTTCTTTTCTTGCCAAGTGTGGTACCCATATCGAGTTGTATACCTCCCCGACTTGCTCACCCACCATACCAAACGATCTGGTTCTGTCTCCCCTCGCAATGGGATCGGGATAATGTGCTGGGCTATCTCCTTAGGGAAACAAGCCTGTATTTTCTCCATGTCCCAAGTCTCCGTTTCTGTGGCAATAAGATCCCGAACTTTAGCATCCACCGGCAAATGGGTTGGTGCTAACGGAACGAAGAACCCCGGGGTAGTTGGGATCCATTTATCACCCCAAATGCGCACCGAGTCTCCATTTCCGATGACCCATCTTAGTCCAGCCGACAAGAATTCTTGCGCACTCAACAGCGACCGCCAAGCAAAGCTCGGTCTTAGCCTGCTTCCACCTCTAGGATCGTAGTTGACGGATGGTACCGAGCTCTCAGCATCCGCGCTATGAGAGATTGGGGCCGGTTATGGATGCTCCAGCAACGACTCGCTAGGAGGGTCATATTGAAGCCTTGTAAGTCCCTAAAACCCAGGCCACCTTCTTCTTTTGGACAACACAGCTCCTCCCATCTCACCCACGGCAATCTATACTCCTCTCCCTTAGCACCCCCACCAAAAATTGTGTATCATTCTCTCAACCGCTGACGTTACACTTTCAGGGATTCTGAAAACTCCCATAGCATAAGTTAACTGCGCCAGCGCAACAGATTTTATCAGGACTGCCTGTGCCGCAACTGAAAGGGTTCGCTCCTTCCAGCCCTTCAATTTCTTTCGAATTCGGTCTGTTAACCCATTAAAGGCTTCCTACAAAAAATCTAAGAGCACTGCTCTCTTCCTACAAAAAATTAAATCTTGAGGATTGAGAGTCCTAGCAATTATGTCATCCTCCAAACATAAAGTTGTTCACTCAATAAAAATGCGTTGGGCAAAGACGCAAGGGGCTGAAGCCACCACAGAGCCCTCTCCAGCCAAATCAGAGCACCACTTGTAGAGATGCCCTAGAAGGGAAGGCTACCCGAACCAGAGCACCTTGGCACCTTGAAGGAAGTTCTTCCTTCCTACCAAAGGCGTCCTCGATAGTGCATCCAGTACCTAGAGACTCCAACCAATCAATCTGTATTTGGTATTGATCTGTTCAGCAAGAATGACACTAGGGTTAGGTGGCCAATGAACACAAATAGATTCCGCCACTGGCAAAGTGTGAATATACGAAGACTCATACAGACTTTTCCCATCCCATGCAAGATCACCTCAAAAAGTAATCCACAAATGAGAGCACGGATCTTCATAAATTTCTTCCACTATGGTGATCACATGCTGTGTGAACGTGCTTACAACAAAATTACCACCATACCCTTTCACTTATCGCTATTTGTTCAGAACCGATCCAACAAAGTTATCACCGTACCCTTTCACTTATCGCTATTTGTTCGGACCCGATTCAATGACGCTAAAGCACATGTCACTGTGAACATATTCTCTCATATGAATCCACCTGAACGGAGTTCGAGTTCCCACACAGCCACAACCACCCCATGATTGCCTTCACCTTTCTACGTTTCTCTGTAGAATGAGAAAAAAATAAAAGAGCGATAGAAGCAGTATGCTCTTGAGCTTTTGACTTTTCTGACTCCATACATGGCTTACCCGCATCAGTAAGGGCTTACCCACATCAGTGGTGGTTTCACACATTCAATACTTAATTCATTTATCCACTCGGGGGATTGTTATTACTTATTACTCATATGGATTACCTGTTTCCCATAACTACCTAGGACTGCAAATGAGCCATGCTGCTCACGAGCAGCTTGACGTTCGGTTTGGGAAAAAGTCATTCGAAACTCGACTCGTTTACTAACTAGCCAAGTTTGAGTTAAGCCTTGTTCGGCTGGCGAAGCTAGCTTGACTCATTGGGTGGTTGAGTTTAACTCGTGAGCTGGCTCGTTTAGAGCTCATGAGATGTCTCAACATAGTGGCTAGGGTGCCAACTCATTTACCAACCTATGAGCGAATTAATCTATATCTTATGAGTTGGACTTTGAGAATTCATATGATAATTAAATTATATATCTCATCATATATGAAGTCTAACACGTTGAGTATGTGAACAAATATGTCTTATTTTTAATTTTAAAAAGAAATTATGTATCGTATATTGCTTCGATTATATGAAATAACATGATTTGTAATAGTTATAATTTATTAACTAAATCATACCAGGAGAGTATAAAATTGGATTGTTTAGTGTTGAACATTTGACTATTAATATGTATCATACATGACATACAAAATGAATATATCAAATATGATAAGATTTTAGTAAACAATTCTAACTCGAACTCGACTTGTTAATAAACAAGCTCGACTTATTTATTAACGAGCCGAGTTTAAAGTGAGGCAAAACTCGATTCGTTTGCAACCCTACGGCTAGGTATACGCTCTGGACTAACAAATGTATTGCAAATGTTCTCTAAGCTTCACGAAGAAATCAAACTTTCTTGTCCCACTCCCACCAAACGTAAACGCTCAATGAAGGATAGCCAAAAGGAAGTCTGAGATGCCGTAAAGACTGGAGTGGCTAGTTTCTTAGAGCTAACTAACTTCCGCATGAGCTATTGAAAGATGCAGAGGTTTCCTTCTCTACTTGGAGAATTCTCGGCTGCGCTTAGCAGCAGCAACAACAGCATTCATAAGCAAACCCCTGAATCCGTCCTTCTCCAGCTCGTGTATCCCCGCAATGGTTGTTCCTCCTGGTGACGCCACTTCGTCCTTCAGCTGCCCTGGATGCTTCCCACTTTGACACACCATACTTGCTGCCCCCAACACCTATACATAATACATGTTACATTATATGACGAATGATTGTATCAAAATAAAAATCCAACTCCCATACAAGAAATGAACTAAGTTTAGTTAAATCAAACTTGTAAAAACGATGTAATATTCTATATATCTGACTCACAGTTTGAGATGCTAGACCGAGTGCGAGCTCTCGTGGCAGGCCAGCAGCAACCCCTCCATCAGCCAAAGCTTCTATTGCTATATATATGTATGCCGGCCCACTACCACTAATCACATCATAGTGAAAAGAAAACGGGATCAACAGGATGGAAAGTAACAACATTCAAAAATGGAGTTTGAGTTTCTACTGCTACATAGATTAATTGATACGCTCTTCAGGAAGCAAGTTAATATGACTTTATGCTAAGAAAAATCAGCCAATCTGGTCTTTCCTTTAGATAGACAAGGATTATATACCTCAGCCCAGTAATTGCATCAAATAGCTTCTCATCAGCTTTCCATATCTTGCCAACAGATCCAAATAACTTTGATATCAGTTCCCCATCTGCCTCAGTCGCAGCTCCACCCAAACTCATCACTAGACCAAATACAAGTACATTTAAATAATATTGCTTAGATGTCATATTGCAGTCCCAAAACCCAAACTGCATGTTCTATTGCAAGAAACAATATTGCCAAGAGCAAAAGAGGAGCACCATCGCAATTTATGGCCACAGAGGCCAACAAAGCCCATCACACAGGTCAACCTAAGTTTTCCACAGACGTAGCAATATTGAAAAGATTCAATTCAAAGTTTCTTCTTACACTGAATTGAAGTCAGTTGAAACAACAATCATTGTTGACTACATGATATGACAGCTATATCATAAAACCTTGTCCCTCTTTCCCTCAAGGAGGGAAGTATTGTGAAGTCTGATGATGAACTCGCATGCACAAAGGATAAATATAGTAGTGTAATAATTGAGCAAGTAGGCAACAAAGCAGCATTAGGATCATAGCCTTAAGTTCCCAGAAATTGAAATCTAACTTGTACACAAGACCAGGAATAAGCAGCCAAAACATCAACCAAAATAAACCGCATGAAGGTCTGTAACTCCTAGCGAAGAAGTCACCACCAGAGCAATAGTACATGCAGATTACGATTACAAAAGTATTTTTACCCAAATAACATAGCATGGCATAAAAAGCTCATACAGAATCATAATGTAGCCTAACATGGAAAACAATACCTGTTGCTGCCTCTCCCACTGCAGCAGGAGTGTTAGGCATCACCCTAATAAATCTTTCACTACCTGCCCATGTCTAAAGTAAGGAAAGACATGTTTCAGTCCAATAGTTGAGGGCATACAAATTCATACATCATAGTTGAAAGTACAAAGATCATTAGCATATATTTTGAACCGAAGTAGATTGAGCTGAACTCCAACTTCATTTCTCAAGGTTTTCGATGATGTTGCAATTAGGTTGAACCATGAAACTTAGCAAGAAAAATAAACAAAATGATTGCACTTTCTTGTGGAAAGAGATGAGTCTCAGAGACTAACAAACTTAACAATGAGAGAATCGAAATACAAATAACAGGATTGCATCTATTGTTATTTTAAGTTTAATGTTCTACTAATACAACCCAACATTAAAAAAGAAATGCAATTTCATGAGAAGAACACCGTTCAAAAATCCCAGAGTCAGCAAATGACAACCTTTTGCAAAATAATTTTTTAACTTTGGTATGGCTCTCAGCAGCCAGTGAACTTCACAAATGTCTTTCTTACTATTGTTTCATGGAGGAAATGCATTATAAATATAAAGACACAGAGATCTCTTAGAAAAGACGCCCCAAAGCCAAACCTGCAAATCTTTTAGTTTGACACCAGCAGCAACCGAGACCAAAAGCTTTTTCTTCGATAGCAGGGGCTGCAACTGCAACACCACGTCCTTAACTGCAACAAGATCAACAAAATCATATTGACAACCAAGGATATAACTCCAGAAATAGAACAGGAAAAAAGTCATCCATAAAATACCAGCAGCAGAATTACATATCTTGAGATCCCTAGTGAAATATGATGAAAGGAAAAGACATACAGAAACAACTCATAGCTATGTCTGAGAGACCACAGTCTAGTTGTGGACACAAGGTGCAGCCCAGGAGTTGAGTTCTTACAATCCCTTCACATCCCCTCATCTTTCCTTCCATTGAACTGGGAAAGGATAAAAGGTTTTTCATTACATGTTTTAAGCATAACTTTACTTGAACTTCAGCTATACTTGAGAAGAAAATCAAGTGGGCAGCACACGTTTCAACCTTCAATCTAAAAGCAGGACAGGCTAGAAACTATTTGATTTCCACCGGTTAACTGATAAAATGTGCTACAAACTTCCCAAAACTATTCCAGGAAATGCGGTTTTTCTTGTTTGAGGGTTTAGAGGGAACGCCAGAATTACTTGCCAGAATGTTAAAATCTCCTTGGACAAGTTCATTCATGTAGGTGTGACAATGTAATTATCAATGAGTCATTTGGTGTTGTTACATTCTGTAAAGCAAGATAATGCTGAAGGGATTCCATGGATTAAAAAGAAAAAAGTAAGGAAAGGAATTCTGTACCAACTTGAGGCTTTACAGAAAAAATCACCACATCACTATCTTCAACCACCTGTTTTCATAAAATCATAATTATCAGTTACATATATGCACAAGAAGGAAGTAATGACTAGGCGTAAAAGTCACCATCACCGCCAGCATCACCAAAAATGAAGCTAACTGATGCAATATAACTTGTCTAAACACTTGCTGCTTACTGGAACTTGTACTTCCCTGTACATATAGAGAATGATAAATGAAAAGTTGAGTTCACAAGAAAAGAAAAGCAATTACTTGTTGGTTCTGAGAGAAAACTTTCACGCCAAACGACTCAAAGGCAGAGCGGCGAACAGGGTTTGAGTGGGCAGTAGAAATGCGGGAAGGGTGGAGGACACCTGACTGTACTATTCCTCTAGCGATGCTCTCTGCCATTTTCCCGGCACCGATGAATCCCAACTTGTATGTGTCGAGTTGAATTGGAGCTGTCGTCATGGCAATAAAAAAGCTTTCCTAATCGCTGCTTCCTGAGGAATACGAAATAAGCCGGCAATCTCAGAAATCGTTACTAGTAGTAGTCAGAAACAAAAGCGCAGAGCTTTTGTTACTTGACATGTCGTGAATGCAAAACCCTTGTGGGAACCAAAGTCAGGCATCGATTTAGAGAGTGCAGGAAAATCTATTCCACAGGGGTCCATTTAGAAACCAAGCCATGTCAATCAAAGAGAAACTACCTTCCAAATAAACTGGGAGTGAGTTGTGGGCGAGTGCAAATTCTTACGAGTCTAGTCAATCGAATTACGAACTGCGTGACTCCACTGGACAGTGAGTGAGATGAAGCTCAGAATTAGGGATCAACAATGGATGGTCGCATTTTGTGTGTGACTAGTAGAGGTGACAATTGGATCGAATTCGTGGATTGGATTGGTGGATTCGTGGATCCATGAATCAAATGAATTGGATCCAATGAATTGGTGGATTCATGGATTGGATCAAATGGATTGGTGGATTGATCCATGAATCCAAATGACATCCAAGGCTTGGACCAAAATGTAAATTTTGGAAAGTTTAGGTACTAAAATGTCATAATGAAAATTTTTAGGTACCAAAATGTAATTTTCCAATGATATTTTTCGTATAAAAATATAAATTTTAGTACCAAAATGAAAAATATAAAAACTATAGGTACCAAATCGTAATTTGCCTTTTGAATCCATGAATTGATACCTGAATCCACCAATCCAATTGGATTTGGATCAAATGGATTGGATTTAAATGGATTGGATTAGGTGAATAATTTGGTGGATGGATTGGATTGGATTCATGGATTTGGATGCTAATTGCCACCTCTAGTGACTAGTTTACCGAAGATCTCTACAGAAATAAAACGTGACTGAAAATGGAGCGAGAAACTGAAAAGACTTTGTAGAGATCGAGTTGAGTGCTACCGGGCATAAGGGAGACTAACAAACACGCTATGATGGACGGGAATGTAAGCGCAGCAGCAGGAGAGCAGGCGGGGACGACGGGAGAGAGACGGCGGCGGCGGCAGGCTGGGCAGGGGTCCTAACTCCTAATTCCCAACTACTTTTAGTCTCACGATTCTCAACACGTGTTTTCGGTTTTCCGGGGCTAAAATCAAATGACCAAGGGGTTCCATTAGTTACATGATTAAGTCTAGGGGTGTTCAAACGGTGTAGTTATCATGGTAACCGTTTTAACCAGTACTATTTGGATAATTTGGTTTGGTTAATTTGGATAATTGGTTTGGTTTGGTTAAAGATTTTAGCTTGTTTGGTTTAGGTGGTTTGGTTTGGTTTTAGACACTCCTAACCAGCCAAATCAAATTAACCAGATAAATAAATAGCCATATATATAATATATACACATACTTAGTATTTTGAATAACCACTCAAGAGTTGAACGTTCATCCCTTTTGAGACTCATAAAATATAAAGTTTGATATTATTCATATAATGTATATTTGTATATGTAGAGTGTAGACCACAACATATGAACGCCTAATTTAGATAAATCTCATACATTATGTTGGATGAAACTTGAAAGCAAGGTCCTTTTCAGCTTATGAAAATTGCTAAAAGACTAATTCAATTCAAACAAACACAAAAATTCGTTAACCCATACAATTGTGATAAATTTTTGTTAGGTGAATACTTCTATACTAACTGTAACATAATTGTCTTAGTTGCATGTATTTATGTTAAGAGTCAACTATAACTATGTGTTGATTGTTATGTTTTATTCATTATATAAATTGTGAACTGATAAATTAACCGAAATTTTCTCACTTAATGATAATGTGATTTTATATTGGTTAATCTGGTTAACCAATTAACCAAACCGATTAAACTTTAATTTGGTTGTTGTATTAGTTTGGACGGTTTGATTATGATATTGTATTCCATGGTTAATGAAATTTAGTCTTATTTGGTTTGGTAATAACCTTGGTAACCATTTGAACACCCCTAATTAAGTCAGTGTCAAACTTGTTTATGTCAGTGTGTCGGTTTATCAAGTGGAATGGTTCGACCGGTAGCACATACTGGTTCATGCCGGTCAATATTACAAATAAAATTATAAATACTCATATTTAAACATGACATTTAACGTCAATACCTAAATATTTATACTTGAATCCAAAAAATAATATCAATATTTAACTTTTATACTCATAAAATAAATAATGAAATAATTTTTATCAATTAAATTTGCTAAAATAAGATCATTTTACTTAGAGATTCGTATATCGATCATGCCGGTCATACCGGTGGTGTCACGCCAGTTTTATGACCGGTATCGGTTGAACCTGATACAACCGGTGGCACGCCGGCCGGCGTGACAACCTCAGATCCAGCCACTCATTCAAATTAGAATTTGATGAATCAAATTAATCTCATTTAATGAAGAGTAATGTGTTAATTACAGGATTTAATTATTTATTTATTATAAAATAAAGATTGGGCCCACTCCTCCCTTGTTTGCTCGCGCCCCACCCAACTACGTTTGACTTCCGTCTTTCCCGTTGGGTTTTCGGCAGCTGGGAAATTTTTTCCATTTTTTTAACCTGGAGAATTTGCCCATGCAACCACGAGAGAGAGAGTTGATTTTTTTTGCAAAGAAATTTTTTTGGTGCCGGCGGTGGAGATTTTCCGACGATAGGGATTTTCCGGCGGCAACGACAGTTCTGTGATGTTTGTCGGACTATTTTGTACTGTTTGTAATATTTGTATCAATTCTGTTTGTATCGTTTATCATTTTAATTTGTAATGTTTATATGACTGATTTGTATAATACAACCCTAAGTGGTTGTTTGATCAGAATCAATGCAGCCAAAAGATCAAATCAAAGAATTGATCTCAATCGAATAAGAACACCAAAAATAGAGTTTGTGTTCCGTGTTTAGGATGGAACTTTCTTGCAACTTTTACGAAGGGAAAGAGGCTTGATTAGTAATATGGTTCAATGTTTGGCCACAGTTAGGGTGATGAAGTGATCGATACAAGTTCTCGATTGCTGAGAATGCTCTAAGCAATCTAATTCAATTCATCAAGCAAACAAGCTAAATGAACCAACATGTAGTTTGATGTGGCACAAAGCTCTCGAATCTCACCCATTTGTCTCGAATAGTCCTTCAAAGTAGGGTTGCCAAACTGTCTCCATCGCTTAGCCATTTTCTGGCAGATTCCCTGTGTTGAGGTAGCCTTTTGGGAGGCTTGGGAAATGGTCTTATTGGTTTCATTCTGACCTTCCAAGCATTCCATCATGTAGATAAACTCTGTATCTTCACTCCCAAGTTTAATTTTTGAGCTTACATTGACCCATTTGAGAGAACCAGGCTTGCAAAGTTGGTTATCTGAAAAGGTTAAAATACTTAGCAAAAAATGAGTGTTCTTTCCACTTGAGATAGCTTCTTGGTTAAGTAATTATGGTCTGTAAATTGAGCAATATGGGATTGTATCATTTTATGTTTTGTAATTTGTAATGTTTGTTTGTCTAATTTGTATACTTTATGTTATGTTTTGTACACTTTGTATTTATTGATTTATAATAAAAGTTTACTGATTTGTATTGTAAGTAGTGGCATTGATTCGGGCCCAAATGTACACATTTTACCCATCATTTCTTATTCATTTAGCTTAGTATTTCATCGTTCCTCGACATATTTCACGCTAGGTTGTGCTAGTTTTGATGCATTTCAGGTCCTAGTACCCCCTCAAAAAGAAAAAGAAAAGATAAAGGAAAAGAAATCGAAAAAGAGGTAATAAAAAGGGGTAAATAAAGTAGAGGGTGCCACAAAAAAAAGTGTATGCTCTAGGAGGGGTTTCTTGGCACTCAAGCCACTGAAACCCCCACATTGTTTTAGAACTCCTTCACTACCAAATCGAAAGGTGATAGCAAGAGAAGACCGAGGAAGAGCGCTTAAATGTAGTTCATGATGGGTGATAGTTTGGAAGGGAGAAGTAAGGCTTTTGGCCGATGCTAGTGGCCTTTGTTTGTAGAGAAGATTCTTGGTCGAAACCATAGAACCTTCGGGTTTAGGTTTATGATGTAGGACCTCGTACCATGTTTGCCACCACCCAAAAAGCTTTTCCCCCAAGTCCAAGACAATTGCCAGTCATCTGAACCCGCGTCTAAGATCTCCTGACGAGCTAGTGACAACAACTATCCTATGAACTCTAGCGTTTAGAGGTTGCCACCGTGGTGTTGAGATGGTATGGATGAGAGGTGATGATTGTGCACATCTTTTGCACCAAAACGTCCTGACCCCACTCGTCGGGAGTGAGCGATTCATTCTTGTTTTTGCATGTTCATATCTATCCCGGTGAGGACCTATGTTGCCCCATTGTCTGTTTCTTTGACTTGAGGTCTATGCATGGTCGGTTGTGATTGATTAGTAGCCCGGTTGAGACTTGCATTGATTGTGGATAGAATGAGAACTTTTTATTTGCCCATTTTTTATGCAATTGAATGTCATTTGTGGTGGATGCCGGATTTGTTTGAGACGGTTCGACTGTCGATGCCCAAATAATCATTTGAGATTCACAGCCTTGTGCCTTTGGAAATGTCCCCTAGCTATCTTTGTAGGTTGAAATATTACCTAGGTGGAAAATGGTTTGCTTGGGGACAAGCAAACGTCTAAGTGTGGGGGGAGTGATTCGGGCCCAAATGTACACATTTTACCCCTCATTTCTTATTCGTTTAGCTTAGTATTTCATCGTTCCTCGACATATTTCTAAGTTGTGCTTGTTTTTATACATTTCAGGTCCTAGCACGTTTGGAAGGATCAAGAATGAGTTTTGGGATAATTGGAGGTCAAAAAACGCAAAAACCGAAGAAAAGTCTGAAGTTCCGTGACAATTGCCCTATAGCAGTGAAGTGAAGGTGTCCAAGAAGCAGCCGCAGTTCACGGTCAAACAAGGGAGTTCACGGTCTCCTAAGACCGTGAACTAGAGCCACAAACCGTGAACATTGAGCAGTCCAGCGAGGTTTCAAAGGTTATTAACGCCAAGGGAATTCACGATCGCTAAGACCGTGAACACCAGAAACGGTGTGTTTTGGAGACGCCACTAGTTTAACATAGCGTTACGTAAAATGATAAGTCGTTACGGACACCTTCCGTAACGCTTCTAGTTTAACTGTTACGTAAGACTAACAAGCATTACGTAATTGTTACGTAATAAACATTAATTTCACGTAATGCGAGCTATAAAACTTGCCTAAGGTAAAAAAATGGCAAATTATAATAAGTTAAAAGCATGGTAGGAGGTCCCTACTCCCGGTCCAAGATAGGGTCAGTAACCACTGGTTACTGACCCATCAGTAACAACACGCGGGCCGTAGATTTGGGGAGGGAGAAATCGTGTGGATGGGCTGGACGCTGGGTGGGGGGGGCATTTTTGTCCGTTTTCGTATTTTTAATTTTTTATTTATTCCGCATTTCAATGGCTGGCTTTTCAATGAAAGAGAGAGACTCTTCCTTCTCTGCAACTCAACTTTCTTCCTTCTCTTTTCCTTTTTTTCAATCTCTTTCCATAACCTTTCTCTTTCTCTATTCCTTCTCTCTTACTTTTTTTCTCACAATCTCCTTTTCAAATCTAAATCTGCTCTCTTCCTTCTTCATTTTTTTTCTCTAGCATAATAATTGTAGTCACTCTCTTTCATTGCATTGCTTCTCTTCATCAACTCGTTGGACTCAATTCCGATCTTTCTCATTTTTTTGGCATTTTGGTGTTCTTGATTGAGGAAGAGGAAATGAGAGGCATTAGAAGACGATTTTTTTTCTCTCCCTCCTTCTGTTTTTTGCCTTTTAGATAATATATATTGATATTATGACTCTATACCATATGATATTGGGTGGTAACGAAATATATATTGACATTACCACACTATACCCTATGGTAATTTATGGTATTGCGTGGTAACGAAATATATATTGATATTACCACTCTATACCATATGGTATTGTGTGATATTACCACACTATACCATATGGTATTGTGTGGTAACGAAATATATATTGATATTACCACTCTATACCATATGGTATTGTGTGATATTACCACACTATACCATATGGTATTGTGTGGTAACGAAATATATAATGATATTACCACACTATACCCTATGGTATTGGGTGGTAATGAAATATATATTGATATTACCACACTATACCATATGGTATTGGGTGGTAACGAAATATATATTGATATTACCACACTATACCATATGGTATTGGGTGGTAACGAAATATATATTGATATTACCACTCTATACCATATGGTATTGTGTGAATTGTGTGATATTACCACACTATACCATATGGTATTGGGTGGTAACGAAATATATATTGATATTATCACATTATACCATATGGTATTGGGTGGTAACGAAATATATATTCATGTGGCAAATATTACCATACCACATGGTATGCTCTTGTTTAATACCAGTCAATACCATATGGTACAGTCAATACCATATGGTATAGACTGGTAATAACTGACAAATTTTTTTGTGTCCAAAAAATATCAAAGTGGATATCATTTTGAAGAGCACAATTAATCTGATCTAACTGTGCAAAAAAAATTAAATTTCGACTTAAAACGAGTGAGAAATCGTCCGTTAAAGATTAAGGGAAGGAAAATTAAATGTTTTGCCAGGAGAGAGAAGGAGGGGCTGATAGGGTCCGGTCAAAAGTGAGCATCAATAATAAATAGGAGTAAATGCAATTTTACCGTACTACCCTTTTCACATTCAATTTAAATAAAAAAGTGACTGACATGTGGGGACCAGGGAAGGGGTTACTGATGGGTTAGTAACCCATCAGTTAGAGTTACTGACAAGATCTGGACCCCTACTCCCTACTCTCGAATTCCCCATATACATGTGTCATAAAAAGAAAAAGCTCAAATATTCGAAGATGGTGGATTTACATTGATTAAAGTGTGACCTATCATCAGAATGGTTACACGGTACATCACATGATACATAAACGTTATAGTAAATCCAATTGAATCCGATATAACATCAAGAAAGTGAAACAAATTGCCCAATCTCCTTTCCGACCTCATCATCACAACAACACAACAGCGTATCATTACAAATTGAACAACTCTTTTCACCACCACTAAACAGACCTGGGCTTGGCAACAATGGTGGAGTGCTTGGCGATGTGCAAGCTAAACTGCCCGGCCTTCTCGGAAGTGTCGAGCTTGGACAGTCCAGGTGGAGGCAAGAGCTCAAAGTTCTGCACCAGACGGCCAATGGTGATCCCCAAGATGGGGAGGGCGAGGATGATACCAGGGCAGCTCCTCCTCCCTACGCCGAAGGGCAGGAACCTGAAGTCGTTGCCGTTGGCCTCGACCTTGGCCTCCTCCTCCAGGAACCTCTCGGGCCGGAACTCCTCGGGGTTCTTCCAGTGGGCCGGGTTGTTGGCCAGCCACCAGGCGTTGACCAGGATCTTGCTCTCGGCGGGGATGTCGAAGCCGCCGAGCTTGGCGTCGTGGAGGTTCATGTGGGGGACGAGGAGAGGGATGGCCATTCTGAGGCGGAGGGTCTCCTTGACGACGGCCTGGAGGTAAGGCAGCTTCTGGATGTCGGGCTCTGTGATCTGGTGGCCTGCTCCCAAAACGGTGTCCAGCTCCTCCCTCAGCTTCTGCTGGATGTGTGGATGGTTCACCAGCTCCGCGATTCCCCACTCGATCGACCACAATGTAGTTTCGATGGCTGTTGTATAATAATAATTCACAACAGCAAATGGAGCATTATTTAGTAATACCATTCCAAATCTGGGTTAAGGCACTGCTGCACTGCCGATAATTGAACTGGCAATCAAATTATGATCCAACTAAGACTTTTCAATTAAAATTCTTAAAGTCCAACTGGTTGCACCACGAAAAAGGTTAATGAAATGACACATCCTTCCTTTGACAAAAATTAGAGCGACCCTAGTGGTACTGGTAGCAGTGCATATTCTCTGCATCTATCTATCTATCTATAAAAGGTAAATTTCTACTAGGCACTTTCCATGATTCTTTAATTTCCCTTTACGGCCGTCAAAGCAGGCGGCTCCGCCAGAAAGGAGATTATTGCAGGCAGAAACAGAAAACAAAAAACAAAGCAGATCATAGTATAATGGAAAAATTGGAGTGGGGTAGGTGAGGTTGGTGGGAGATCTAGTTCCTTTAATAAGTGCAATGTCAATGTCTAACGTTCTTAGATTGCAAGGATGGAGTAGTTCACAAGTTGCACTTAATATATCAAGGTGTAGTGGGGGAGAGGGTAATGCAGCCTAAATTCAAACCTTGATCCAATAACCAACTAAAAAAGTATATATGGTTTGATCTACTTGGGCTACTAAAATTAATATTTGTTTTGCAGAAAACATTACAAAAACCTTAGGCTTATGGGCCTAGTGGGGATGAGTAGTGCGACTTGGGGGTAAGTGTATGTCGAGTGTCAAGCAGAGAGGCTTATGCCTATGGCCTATGGGTGGACACCACACAACCATGTGTACCTCAATTACGTTACTGTAGCTCTACATAATTAATGGGTAAATGACATATTTGGTCACTGAGATTACTAAATCGTGTCATATTTAGTCACTAGAAAAATTTAATATCAATTTTGGTCACTCGAATTACTTAAACAGGTCACATTTGGTCACTCTTCTGTAGCCTCTGTCCAACTCCGGTCACTCGAATTATTGAAAAATATCACATTTAGTCACTCGGATTACTGAAACATGTCACATTTGGTCACTCTCCCAAAAGTTTCCGTCCAACTACATTAATGAAGTTGGACGGAAACTGACGGGAGAGTGACTAAATTTGACCAGTTTCGGTAATTTGAGGGACCAAAATTGATATTAATTTTTTCTAGTGACTAAACATGACACAATTTAATAATCTCAGTGACCAAATGTGTCATTTACCCTTAATTAATTGATAAAGGAGCCCCCATGGTTGGGCCTGGGTGAAGGAAGCAACACTCTTGCCATTTACTTTTAATATACAAAAACAATACATAGTTACAAATACATTTCAGATAGCTAAAATATGAGGTGATAAGTAATTTAAGAATATGATTGATCGGATCGAAAAGAGTAATCATGCCAACTTCATCCACTCCAAAAAAAAAAGGGGGGGGGGGGGGGGAATAGGTCAAATAAAACTAGTTAGATTAAAATTGTCACCCTAATCTAATTCCATCTGAAAATGAGTTTTAACTATTTTCGACCGGCTCACAATTTAATAAATGCAGCAAACCTGGAGCAATAGTAGCCCCCCATTCAAAATGATTTAGGTAGAAGCATGAATCCAAAACTAACTCTAATAAGAATATTCAATAGATGATAACTGATAATAAACAAGTTAGGCAGCAGCTGAATTAAACAATAAGGGGTAAGATAATAATAACAATAAGGACGGAGAAATTTACCGGCGACGTTGATATTCTCGACGATGTAGAGGACATTGTCTTCATTGATCTCTCCCTTCTGCTGTGCTTCCAAAATGTGGTCCATCGCGCACTTCAGCCCGTCGTTCGTCGTCTGCTTCGTGCCCATCAATGTCCTGCGGTTGGGATTGCCAATCACAACTCAAATTAATCCATCTCTACGATCACCAAGCAAAATTGATTGCAAACGGGGGTTTCTTCAGAGCAATTATAACAAAATTCAAACTTACTTCCTCTCCTCAATGAAGTAATCCTTGAACAGCTTCAGCCTCTTCTCCTTCACTTGCTGACAGACCTTCAAGTAGCCCCTCAGGAAAGGCCTGAGGATGGGGATGAAATCGCCATAGTTATAGTCAAAGCTCTGAGCCAACCGACTCCGCTCCCCGTTCAACGCCTTGAGCTTGTTGAACAACGGATCCTGCTCCGACTCGAACCGCCGGTCAAACATGATCCGGAACATGTTGTTGTACATCATCAGCTGCAGGCGGCGGCGGAGCACGATTCCGGTGGTGGCCGCCTCGGGATTCTTCTTGACGTCCTCGACGACGGCGGCGGCCTCGTTCTCCCAGCCCTGGCGGTTGTGCTGGACGACCTTGTTGGTGAAGAAAGGGACGGTCATGATGCGGCGCATCTTGCGCCAGTGCTCGCCGTAGACGGTGAAGACCATGTCCTGGCCCTTGCCGGTGAAGATGTCGAAGACGACGTTGCGGGTGCGGGATCCGAACTCGACGCCCTGGGTGTGGAGGACCTCCTTGGCGAGGTCCGGGGAGGAGACGACGACGACGTTTCGCTGGCCCATACGGAGGAGGAAGATTTCGCCGAATCTCTTGGCGTAGTCGGTGAGGTTGCGGTGGTTGAGGTCATCGCCGACCTGGAGCCAATTACCGAGGATTGGAACAGGTATGGGGCCGGGAGGGAGCTTGAATCGCTTGCCGCGGAGCTTGGAGATTACAATGGCGACCACGACGGCGGAGAAGAGGGCGAGGAGAGTCTTCTCCAGGAGGAGGAGATCCATGGCGGAAGGAAATTGATTGGGGGAAATTGGGGGTTGGTAGGTGTTTGGTTGGGGGATTGGGGGGATGGTGGGGGGGGTTTTATATAATAGAGAAAAGGGGAGGGATCTGCTGGCATGAGTGGAGGACGTTAGGTGAGACGGAGGCTCGTGGTGGTGGCTACCGTACCGGTGGACTTTTACTTTTTGGAGAGAGAGAGAGAGAGAGAGCTGAGAAGGAAGAGAAGAAGTAGTGGGAATGGGATGGAGATGGATAACGGCGTTAGTGGGAGGATGGAGAGATGGGGGTAGGTAACCTCAGACGCTGACCCAGTGCCAGTGGGGTGGTGAGAGAGAAAGAGAGAGAGAGGCCGGGTCAGGGTCAGATCTGTGGAGTGTGGAGGAGGTTGGTAGAGACTAGAGACAGTCATGAGAGGAGAGGTGGGGTAATGTGTGGTGGAGGACGTATGGCCCTATGGGGTTGCCAAAATGCTTTATTTATTTTAAGTAATTAACTTGTAGCAAATCCTCGGAAATGTTCAACCCAAATATATATATATAAATGATTAACTTGTAACAAATCCTGGGAAATGTTCAACGCTACGATGATGCTTGTTTGTAGGATTTTAAAAAAAGAAAAAATTTGTGTAAAATACTGAATTTTACAATTGAAGGATAGTGCAGGATTTTTTTTTTTTTATGAATGGAGAGCTTTGTATTAATCATCAAAAAACCAGTGTACTTTGTGGCAACAACCCCTGCCACTGAGGAGAAAACAAACTCCTATCTAACTATAAAGAGCCAAGCAAACCAAAGCAAATCAAAACTTCACCAGAGGCACTCAGAAGCACTCAGAAGAACTTTGCTACATCAGCCGCTTCACAAACAATCACAACTTCACCTTTTATCAGCTTGACAGCATCAGGGATACTCAGGACAGCACCTCCAAACCTGATCGAGCATCAGGGATACTCAGGACAGCACTTTTGAATGAGGTGCAGAAGAAGAGAAAGAGTCAATGGCCCACTGAACTTCATCAATCCAAGAAGTTGAAGGGACTCTAGCACAGTGCTTGCAGTAAAGCAATCGAAACAGCTCCCTATACCTGTAACACTCAGCAAACAAATGATTTTGAGTCTCAACTCTGCAGTCACAGTAAACACAGGCAGTCATCCCTTGGAATCCCCAACTCATCATCTTATCACAGGTGGAAATAAATTGCTTAATGACAAGCCAACTGAGAAACTGATTTCTAGGAATAGCAGGAGATTTCCAGACCAGTTTAAACCAAGGAACCTCAGAGCTGTAAGGCCTAAGATCTTCCCAAATCAGCTTAGTAGAAAACTTCTTTAGCAATTTACCTTTCCAGACCCCTTCACCATTCTGAATACTAAGATTGTGTTGAACAATATCCCTTGTTTTAAGCACTTTAAGCCAAATCCAAGAACCTGTTTTGCAGGTAGATGTCCAGAAATCTGACCCATGGAGTCTGTATTCCCAGATCCAAGCAACCCATAGGGAGCCCTGTTTGGTAAGTAGATCCCAAATGTGCCTCACTACACACGCCTGGTTCCAACTGTTCAGGTCTCTCAATCCCAGACCCCCCTCTTTTTTAGGGAAAGTCAGTTTGTCCCAAGCTGCCACAACTTTCCTCTTACCTTCAGTCCCCACTCCCCACAAAAAATTGCTACACAATTTCTCAATTTCCTTTATCACCCTCTTAGGCAAGATAAACACAGTCATCCAGAATTGAACCATACTATAAAGAACAGAAAGAACCAACTGGAGTAAGCCTGCATAACTCAAAAACTTCACCCCCCAATTCTGAATCTTATTAGCAATTTTCTCCAACAGGGGGCGACAAGCCTTAGCAGTCAGTTTTCCTGGAATTAAAGGGATTCCCAGATATCTAACTGGCAGAGAACCCAACTGATAACCTGCTCTTACTGCCATATTTACCTGCCACTCCTTTGGTAAGCCACAACAGTAAAGTTCACATTTTGCAGGATTAGAGACTAGACCAGAAAGCACCCTGAACTGATTTAAAACCACTTGAATGCACTGGATACCATAATTAGACCCATCAGAAAACAATAATAGGTCATCAGCAAACATTAGATGAGTAAGACCTATTCTTTTACACATAGGATGGAATGGCATTTTGTTGTCCTGAACAGCTTTCTTCATAAGGCAACTGAAAACTTCCATAGCAACAACAAAGAGATAATGAGACAGGGGATCTCCTTGTCTCAATCCCTTTTTTGCTGAGAAATAACCCACAACCCCCCCCCCCCATTAAAACCAACACTGATTTTGGGAGTAGTGAAACACATCTTAATCCACCTAATGAAGCCTAAGGGTAAGTTCATAGCCTCTAACACAGTGGTTAGGAAGTTCCAATCCACTGAGTCAAAGGCCTTCATTAGGTCCACCTTCACCATACATCTGGGAGACATGTTTTTCCTACTATACTTTTGAACCATCTCATGAGCAAGTAAAATGTTTTCTCCTATAATTCTCCCTTTAACAAAAGCAGTTTGGTTTTCACTAATCAGATGAGGTAGACAAACACTAAGCCTAGAAGAAATTATCTTAGCTATACATTTATATAAAATGTTACAGCATGAGATAGGCCTGAAGTTTTTCATTTCTTCTGGGTTCTTAGTCTTAGGTAACAAGGCTAAGAGTGTAGAATTTACCTCCAAGGGAATTTCAGACACTGAAAAACAGTACTGTATGGCAGCTGTGATTTCCTCCCCAACAATCCCCCAAGCATGATGAAAAAAGCAGGCTGAATAGCCATCAGGGCCTGGACTCTTCTCCCCTTTAAACCCAAACATAACTTTTTTTACCTCCTCTGCACTGACTGGCTTACATAAATCCAAACCAAAACTGCTTGGAAGTGATTTTTGCAGCAAACCCTTATAATACTCCACTGCCTGAACTTGCACATTAGGATCAGCCTGCCCCAAAAGTTTCTGATAAAACCTCTTAGCAACCTCACTCATACTAACAGTATCAACCACCCTTTCCCCATCTTCATTAATAAGTGATCTGATGGTGTTCCTCTGGTTCCTGACCTTAACTGAATGATGGAAGTATGGGGAATTAGAATCCCCTTCTTTAAGCCAAATTTCCCTAGACTTCTGTCTAAGGAAAGATTCCTCAGCACTTTTAACAGCCAACAGTGCATCCTCCTTTTCTTTAACCAGAGAAAAAGACTCAGTGGATGGATTCTCTAAGGCAGCAGCTTGAGCATTAAGCAACTCAGTTTCCTTCAGCTTGACCCTTTCCCTTAAATCAGAAAACTCCTCTCTATTCAACCCCCTGAGAAGTTTCTTTAGCACTCTAAGTTTTTTGCAAACCCTAGAGAGTGGAGAGCCCCCCACCTCAGTGCCCCAAGCCTCTTTTACCAGATCAACAAACTTAGGATGAGAAGTCCAAAACTTAAAGAACTTAAAAGGTTTAGGGAGAGACTTAATCTTACTGTCTGTGTTGAAAGTAACAGGACAGTGATCAGAAACTGAAGGATCCAACAACTCCACTACACTATCCTTCATCACTTCTAACCATTTCAAATTAATGAAAGCTCTGTCAAGCCTCCTAGCAATAGGGTTTGCTTGCTGCTTATTGATCCATGTAAACCAAGGACCAGAAGACTTGTGTTCCACTATCTCAGCCATGCTCTGCCAGTTTTTAAAATCCTCCATATTACTATTAGGCTCAGGGTTGTTTGATGCCTCCTCAGGACCATTGATGGCATTGTAATCCCCTAGAATTATCCAGGGAACCTGATCAACTTTCAATCTAACCAGATCACTATAGAGTTTTCTTCTTTCACCTTCTTCATTAGAAGCATAGACAAACGTGACAAAGAAAGGGATCCCTGAGCTGACAAGAGCATGAACAAACTGCTCTGAACTATCCAAAACCCTCAACTGTACATCCTTCTTCCAGAGAATCCATAATTTCCCCAAACCATTTGCATTGCAAGCAACCTTTTTCTCCCAACCTGGGAACCTCCTACTAATGAGTGCATCTGATTCAGCTACTTTGATTCTTGGCTCTAGTATACCTACTATGTCTATATTAAGTTTACTTACTAGCTGCTGTACAGCCTTGTTTTTACCAGGGTCTTTAAATCCCCTGGTATTCCATGACAGGACCTTCATTTCTTCTTACCACCTTTCCCCCCCCCTTCTTAGCAGGAGGCACAGGAGGTTTCTTCCTAGCAGAATTCCCAGTAACTGTTATCCATGGATTAACATCATCAGCAAAACTTCCCCCTAGCCCCCCATTTGACAGAGGATCACTTGAAGGGCCAGCATCAACAACCCCATCCACAGCTGCAGTCAGACAAATACTGGATTCATGAGACTCTGAGTGAGAACTATCCCCAACAACTTCATCCATAACCATCTCAAAACCTTGCTCCACTTCTTTCCCCTTATCAGCAATATCACTGACTTGAACAGTAGGCCGAGACACCTCTTCAGAATTTCCATCATCAGCCTTTACTTTCGGAATCCACTTCTTACCACTCTTGGCTAACCAATCACAGTCATGCCCATAAATTGAACATCGATCACAGATCAGAGGCTTATTGAGATATTCTACCTCAATGTCAAAAGATGGATCATCATCTGGATAGAGACGAACCATCTCCAGGAAACCACAATCCGCCGCCAAATCAATACAAACCTTAGCAAAACCCAATTGCGCTCCAACTCTAGTGGTCTGGTCCATCCAGAGTGGCCCCCCAATCGTACTTGCAATCCATTCATGACCTTCAAAAGAATGATATTCCAGCGGGATTCCCCACAACTTGACCCAAATTGGTAGAGTTTCAACAACAGGAGTAACTAGTTGAATTCCTGGAAACCATTTCCGAAAAAACACCGGGTTACCTTGAAAATGCCACGGCCCAGACTTGAAAACCCACTTCCCAGTAGCCGCCGATGGAAATTGGAACACCATCATTCGCGGACCAAACTTGGAGACACGAACCACACCTTCCCTTCCCCACAAACTGGTTGCCCATTGTTGAAGAGCAGCAGGCTTAGGAACAGTCCCAACAAATTGGGCGATTAGACAGTCCTTCCACCTCTCCTCTCCCCGCTTTTTGACTTCACGAGGAAGCCGAAACCCATCATTCATCTTCTGCGGAGGACGATACGTCATCTTGTTTGCCGGATCAACCTCAAAGAGAGAAGCCCAGCTAACCGGCCCGGCAGCCGGCGCTGCGCCTGGCGGCGCCGCCGCCATCGCGAAGCGAAGAGTTCAGAGAAGAGCGATTAGAGAGAGAGAGGAGAGAGAGAGAATCTTTTAATTTTTTGTTTTATTATTTTTATAGTGCAGGATTTTGTCATATTCAACTTTTATTGAATTTTAAAAAGTGTTTATTTACTCATTGGATT